GCAGCAAATGCCTGACCTCCCGCAGGTGAGAGCGCGGTGGAGATGCCAGGTTAATGAGTGCGAAAAGTCCATATCTTTAAGTGCTCGCACGAGAAGAAGGGGCTCTGCAGCCGTCTCTTTTTAAACTTTTATGAGTTTATAAGGGACCCACGCATTTCTGTGTCCCTGTGTAAGCCCCTCTGTTCTCCATGACCAGGTAAAATTCTAGTCCTTTAGCCCTTATTCAAAATATCCAAATTCCTAAATCATTGATCCTTTTAGTGCTGCTGTCTGACCGCTCCACTCTTGCAACACGCTGAGCTTCAAAGTGCATTCTCGTGCGCCCTAGTCTTTGGCGACAGGTAATGAATGTCTACTGATCCTGTCCATTCACAAAAATGTCCAAATTGTCTCACAATCCAGTTTTTCGTAGTTTCTCTGCTTGGCCGTATCATTACGCCTTGAGCCATGCCCGCGTTGCTGCGCGCCTCCATCTGCAGAGATAGGTGAAGACCCGTAACTTCTTCATTCATAAAAGTTCCAAATTCTTACACATCTGTCCCTTGTAGCCACGCTGCTCGGCTGAAGTCGCAGTACTAGGACCTACAGTGGTGCGCCTTCAACAATCGGATAAGATAAATGCATTCTAAATATAACTCTGCCGCACGATCCCAGGGTTGACGGCTGGGAATCCTCTTTATGCAGCTCACTTTCTGGAGTTTGGGATGACGGGCGCAGAATGACTTGCCCGTCCTTCGCACAATGCTAACTATACAACCAGATTCATTGTTAGAAAAAGCATGTTTGGAGGTGAAATTATATTTAGAATGCGTTTATCTTATCCAATTGTTAAAGGCGCACCACTGTAGGCCTTGGTACTGCGAGGGCAGCCGAGCAGCTCAGCTACAAGGGTCAGATGTGTAAGAATTTGGAACTTTTATGAATGAAGAGGTTACGGGGAGTTACCTGTCACTGCAGATAGAGAAGCGCACTTGGCTCAAGACGCAATGATACGGCCAAGACAAGAAACTATGACAAACTGGATTGTGTGACAATTTGGACATTTTTGTGAATGGACAGGAGCAGTAGACATTCATTACCTGTCGCCAAAGACAGGAGAATGCGCTGTGAAGCGGTGCCGGGCTCGCAGTCAGATAGAGGGACTAAAAAGATCAATGGATTTAGGAATTTGGATATTTTCATGAATAAGGACTAAAAGATTGGAATTTTACCTGGTCATGGAGGACAGAGCGCCTTACACAGGGACCCAGAAATGCGTGGGTCCCTTATAAACTCATAAAAGTTTATAAAGAGGTGGCTGCAGCGCTGCTTCTCCTCATGCACGTACTTAAAGATGGGGACTTTTACGCACACGTTAACCTGGCATCTCCACCGCGCTCTCACCTGCAGGGTGGTCAGAGCAGCGTGTGTAAAGCTCTGCGTACTCTAATGTCGCAGATCACGCCAAATACCCTGCTATACGGGATCGCGGTTCTCTCTCGCTTTCGCTCTCTCATCCAAGATTAGTCCTGGAGTAGTCCTGGTTCATCAGTGTCGGAATGGTGGCATCAAAGTGTCGGAATGGGGGCATCAAAAAGTGTCGGAATGGGGACATGCCGGGGTGGACGATTGTCGGAATGACGGTATGTCGGAGTGGGGGTCTGTTGGAGTGATGGTATGTCGGAATAGGGGTTGCCGCCCCGCATGGAGTAAATTGTACTAAGACACTGAAATAAATTCATATATATGGCGAGCAGTAGTTTTTGGATGAAATTAAAGGCTTTAATGCACGCCATACAGTGCGGAAAATACGGTAGTTATAATCTATGATGCCTGTGGATCATTATGTTACAATCTGAACAATTAAAATCATAATACTGATCTAAAGTAACCTGTAATAGAAACAAGTCCTTTGCCTTATAGGTTGGTTGGAAAAACACGGTGCCCAATGGGAGCTGACCTTGCCATAAGCGTCATCACAGCAAAGTGCCACATGCTGTCAGACACTTCTGTGGATACCTGCACATCACACTAGGGACTAGAAGATTTTTTTTTTTTCATTTATACCAAAATGACTATGTGACACTGCTGAATATTACATGTGGCACTGGTTAAGGAAATAAAGTTGGAGAGGGAAATGCATACTTCACAATTGGGGTATACTATACCTGGTTAAAAGCTCTGAAAAGTCAATTTTACAGAACAGATCTACTTTAAGATCTGGACTGTTTTGTATCTAACCATTTTGTAGCTTCTCTCCTTTAGTTCCTTTAGAATCTCTCTGAACCAATCCTGTCCCGGACTGTGGACCACATAGACCTCAGACCTGGACATAAACAGGTCTTGGGTCTGGTCTGGATTCAGATCCCGGATCACTGCCTTGAGTCGGACCTCAGCAGAAGAAGAGAGAGGTCTCTGAGAGCTGCTCATGGGCTCCACCAGCAGGCTGCACTGTTCCACTGCAAGTTCTGGAGGACATCAAATTAATGTACAGAAAAAAACATGAAGCTTGAATGAGATATTAAAATGCACCTCTGTGATGTTTATCAAAAGGTTTCAGGCTTAAATGTATTCATCATCTCAGTGTTTTGTATGTAATGTCATATGTTATGTAAAATAAAATAAAATAAATGTCAATAAATGTAAAATCATAGTATGCAACTTTTTAAGCAAAGAATAGACTAAAACTGATAGTTGCTAAAACTATACCTTTTCAAATCTGCAGACTGTGTAAAGTAAGTATCTACCCTACGTTTCAGCCCAGACTGGTACTGACCTTTTTCCCAAGTGACTGCAGCTTGTGTGAGGGGAAAGCAGAGCCTATAGCTGGGTTCAGAGCAGAGCAATGACCCCCAAACAGAAGAGAACCAGGAGCTGATGACAGAGCCAGAGTCTATGAGATCCAACAGGGAAGAGAGAGGGAGGAGTCTGCCCCCTAGAGGAGTCAGGAGCTGGGTGAGTCTATCTGCTCCATTGTGATCAACACAAGTCAAAACCTGAAGAGAAAAAATAGGAGTGCACAGAAAAGGAACAGTGGATTCCATGCATATGAAACATGATAAGTAATACACTCGCTATGTCATTGTGCATATATGTTTAGAGTTCTTATTATAATGGAAACTTTTTTTATAATAAAAAATAGATTAAATTCATAGGTGGGTTGTATTTTGAACCCACCCAGCTGGGCCTGTCAAGGACTTATCATTCAATAAAAAATATATATATATTATAAGTTTTGTACCACTAGTGGGTAACTTTCTGTTATTTTTCTGTTCTATAATTAGATTTCAGCAGTAGAGAGTTGATTAAATGACTCAGTACACAAACTAACTACTAAAGAGTTTAATTCTGCCATTTACTGATTGCAGTTCCTGTTATACAAGATAAGAACCTAAATTTGTCTCACAATGGAGAAATTAAAGTGTTTATTTTATTTTACTTATTGTTTATCAAAATATCAATGCTATGGAAAATTCAAGAACAGCAGGAGAATTAGGAAACATGCAATCAGAGTCAAGCATTCACTGTTGATTTAACACAACGCAGTGCCAGCAGGGTAGAGCTATAAGGCTACGAAGTTGTGTGCAATAGGTGGCTGTGTTTTCATTTATAAAGGGTTTAAGAGCTGTTTTATTGTTATTGTGTCATGTAACATTATGTACCATCTATAATTTCAGCACCAATATTTCACTTCATAATTAATGTGAAAGGAGAGTGCAATATGAACTGCTAAACTAATACAAATTGTCATTACTACTTAATCGTGGTGATTCCTCCCCCATCCTCTCTGAGCTCTCACCTGTTTATGTGCGGTTGTGTCCAACCAATGCAGTGTGACCCGTCTCTGCCCGATCATCTCCTGCAAACCCCGAGACATCACCTTCTCACACACATCTACTGTGCCCCCTGCTGCCAAAGACAGGTACTGTTCCATCTGAGCCCAGGAGCGCGGGCACTCGGACACCACAAACAGCAGGTTCCTCCCATCTCCAGACCCATCCTCCAGGTGAAAGGTTGAGCTGCTGTTGCCGCTACCCGCCCGCCTGGATCTGAGGCTGGGCTTGGTGGGGGAGGTGATGTCAGGCCGGTCCCATTGGAAGTCTAGCAGAGTTTCTTTCACAGCATTTTGGACACATGTCGCTGGGCTGTTCAGTGCTTTTCTCTGACATGGGAGTTCGAACTTTGAATCAAACTCCATCTCAAAGTCCTCGAATGCTTTGTGTCGCAGCTCCTTAAAGTCTGAACATCTTGAGATGAGACCTGAGCTGCGACTGGACAGGGAGCCGAAGAACTTATAGCCCCAGCGCACTTTGTCAAACCCATATCTGCAAAAATATGGATTATTGATCAAGAAGGAATTTATAGTCAATAAAAGGCAAGTTCAGGTATAAATCAACAACTCACAAGGCCCTGGACAGACAAATCACACTGGCAAAGAGTGCTTTATTGAATTCCCCACCGATTTCTAGAGTTCCAATACCGATATCAATACTCAGACTTTAAAAACTACTTAGATACTAACCGATACCAGTGTGGGAAAATAGGACTTATTGCCTTAAAACACAATTAACTTATTACAAAAGACATCCAATTATTATGTAACTGTTAATCATTTTTCAAATAACTACTGAATACCTTTGTCTTTTAAATCGACTTATTAAAGGCCCAACCAGGATATTGGCTGAACTGACGGAATCAATACCCAATCCAGTAAATATTTCAGTATTGGGGCCCTTTAGAATTCCTAAAAAAACAGCCTTTCCAGTAAGTTTTCTTAAAGGTACAGTATGTAAGTCTAGAAGTGGCACATCACCTGCATGACTCCATGGAAATAGAGTCATACTTCAAAACATTCTCCATGGAGATAAATATGTTTTATGCCATACCATACTGTGGAAGATTATAGCATAAAGAACAACATTTCCAAGGAAACAAGCAGGATGAGGCCATCCTAAAGGCTAAATAAGAGTCAGGTTTGTGGAGATGCAATCCTGCTCGCAGTAAAGACGCATGCAAAAATAGAAAAAACACGCCTTTTTTCTTGTAAATTTTTTGGCTTAACAGTTACATACTGTGGCTTTAACAATACAAGAATGTCTGATATGCATGGCAAATACATGTTAAAGTATATTAAGTATTTGTCAGAAATGACAGCCCACTTTTCAAGAGGCTGAGAGAAAACAATAAGCAGTAAGAACGTGATTATACTAACTAAATAGATGAATATATATTCCAGTTAATGAACGAATGTCAATCAAAAACATGGAATTAAGATGACTCTGGTTTTACGTTTCTTTTTCTCAGCATTATCTAATAGTTAATCAAGGTTTTCAAAAAATAGGGGCTGCATGTATGCTCAGATGAGTCCCTTTGAATTTGAAACAGACAAAAATACATCCTATTAAACAAGTCTATGATTTAAAAAAAAACAACGAAACAACGCCTATTTCACATGCAACTTAGACAAATACTAGACATTAGACAACAGATTTCACAGCCTTTTGATTACTTCTGCGTCTCGTGGTGTTACCTGTATCCCAGATGCAGTAGTATCTGTAGCATTCCTCTCTTTAAAATGCCATTCCTATGGCTAAGCTCCTCTTTGGTCTGCTCCCCATAGTCCACGTCGATCACAAACACCAGGTTATGCAGGGCCATGTTTAAATCCACGGACAGGTCCAGTTTTACATCTGATAGCAGCGAAATCCCACAACTAACGAGGCAAGCTAAGGTACCTGCTGCTACATGTACAGTAACCAGGCCGCCACACAGAGTAAGCCACAGAACTGCTCTAAACTCACGAAAAACTACAATTTAGATTAGCTATGCACATCAAAATGCACATATTTTTTTAAAAGGTCACATTTCGGAACCGTTTCGACCCCGTGACGACACAAGAATTAAACGAAATCGCTTTATTTTTTGCATAAACTAATTCTATCGTAACTACACTTTCTCCATAGACGCCATTTTCTCTTGTCTTAATGCTTCGCGCTTCTTGACCAGTGTCCCGCCTCTGTGCTGTGATTGGCTCCAAAAGTCCAAAACAAGAGTGTGATTGGTAGAAAGTAGCAGGCTGGTAACTAAATAGTAACCTTCTATTGGCCGAGAGAGCTGTCAGTTCAAACGACGCTGACTGTAAACATGACAGCAGAGGAGGAGTAAAATGGCGACGAGGTTTAAGTTTTAAAAACTCTAGCTCAAAAATAATCAGCTATAGTGTAATACGAAATAAAGAGAATAGCCATAAATCGAAGAAAACATAGAGTAAAACTAAGAAATAATACGTGGATATAGATTAGACTTAGCTCTTATAAATTGCTCTTATAAATTCTTATATAGGAAATGTGTAACAAGTTTCCTTTATTTCTAATACAAGTTTAAGTAACTATTTCCTACACTGCTATAATGACATTAGTTGCCATTTATTCAAAAGTAAGTTTAACCCATGGATCTATGTTTTAACCATGGAAGTATGAGTTTAACCTCCCAGCATATTTTTTAGGGAAGGAACAAGATCTCCTGCCAGATCTCATAAGATAAAACTGCACACATGAGTAAAATTATCTTGTGAGATTTTCCCCCCTGCATTTACATTTGGATTTGGAAAAAAAAAAAAAAAAAACAGGTCACATGTTAGGGAGTTAAAACTCTTCACAAAGAAAACAGAGCTAAAATGGCAGCAAAAATATAAAATTAAACAAATAAAATTTGTGAGGAATTCTACATATGATATGGGAGTGCCCTGAGGTGGCACAATTTTGGGAAAACGTACCATAGACTATGTCTAAATTAATAGGAATAACCATACCTTGCACTCACAAGTCCAAACTAAACCTGACAATTAATGACCGTTGTATATTACTAGCAGACCTTACAGCTGCCAAAAAATGGTAATATGCCACTAGAAATCAGTTCAACCTCTGACTGTGAAAGAATGTCTTTTATCTTACAGAGACATCATTCAACTAGAGCTTTCTACTGTTTGAATGGATGAAGCAAAAGCCAAAAACATTTCTTGCTGGTCCAATCTACTGACCAAACTGAGATCTGGATGTATTGTAGTTGTTAACTGGAGACCTTTTATTATAGTATATGTTCAAAGAATGTACACAATATGTATACTCTTAGTTAATTTTTATGTATGGTATAAGTATGTATTACACAATTTCTGCTGATGTGTTTTGATGGACGAAATTTGCAGTTGTTTTGTGTAAAGGGAATATAAACCTGAATGTTTTTTTTTTTTTTGTATGTGTGTGCATGTGTGTGTAACAGCAACATGTTTAACTGCAAATTACAACGCTTGAATAAAAATCTGATAGCAAAAAAAAAAAAAAAAAAAAGGGCCAAAATTGCACATAATTACAAATTCTGTTAAAATCTTATTTTGTTCTCATAGACCCAGTCTTGTATCTTAAGTGTCTGGTAATATTTTTCAGTTTGATATTGTTCCAACACCGAGACATGAGTTTTCTCAGGGCCATATTATTGAATCAGTGCCAGGAAGTCCATGGTGCTGTCCTCATCATGATTCTGGATCTTGGCTCTACTCTGGCTCTCCTCTGGTTCTGCTCCTCTGTCTCTCATCCGTCTCACCTCCGTCTCTCCTCCGTCTCTCCTCCGTCTCACCTCCGTCTCTCCTCCGTCTCTTGCCTGTCTCTCCTCTGGCTCTCTTCTGTCTCTCCTCTGTCTCTCCTCCGTCTCTCCTCCGTCTCTTGCCTGTCTCTCCTCTGGCTCTCTCTGTCTCTCCTCTGTCTCTCCTCTGTCTCTCCTCTGGCTCTCCTCTGTCTCTCCTCTGTCTCTCCTCTGTCTCTCCTCTGGCTCTCCTCTGTCTCTCCTCTGTCTCTCCTCTGGCTCTCCTCTGTCTCTCCTCTGGCTCTCCTCTGTCTCTCCTCTGTCTCTCCTCTGGCTCTCCTCTGGCTCTCCTCTCTCTCTGTCTCTCTCTCTCTCTGTCTCTCCTCTCTCTCTCTGGCTCTCCTCTGTCTCTCCTCTGTCTCTCCTCTGGCTCTCCTCCGGCTCTCCTCTGGCACTTTTCCGGCTCTCCTCAGTCTCTGCATGTTCCCTCGAGTTTAAGCCATGAAAATTCCACTTCAGCTTCTGCCTTAAAAGGTCAGACAAAACAGATGGAACCAGGTCCATTAGAACAACAAGGACTAAAGCAGGACTGGAAAAGGACTAAACCACGCCTAAACCAGATCTAGACCATGAGAAAAAAAAAAAAAGAAAAAGCAAGAAAAGCAAGGACTAAAGTAGGACCGAAACAGGACTAACCAGGACTGAACCAGGACTAAATAGCAGGACTGAACGTGGAAAAAATAACAGGACTGAAACAGAACTAAACCAGGACTAAACAGACCAAACATGGGCTATATTTAAAGCAGGACTAGACCTATGAGTAAATTTAGAACTGAAGCAGATCTAAACTAGAACTCAGCAACTAAATCTGTTCTCAACCAGGATCACACATAGACTAAACCAGAGCCTAAATCAGAAACTTAATTTAAAGCATGCAGTTGTACTTACTTGAAATTAACAGAGACTATGTATGTGTAAAAAGAGCTAAAACAGATTAGACTAAACTAGGAACTATAATAATGCCTTATTTGACACCTGTCTCTTGCTACTATTTTTTGCTACTTATTTAGAATTTATTATTAAAATTTTTTTCCTCTTTCTTTTTATATTATATTGTGATGTGTGAGCTATTGTGTCCAAATAACCTCCCTTGTGGATCAATAAAGTTTGTCTAAGTCTAAGTCTAAGAACTAAACTTGGACAAGGACTCAGAAATAAACCAGACTAAGGCAGATCTAAACCCCACCCCATATTTTCAGCTCCTTCCACAAATCAAGCCATCTCAATTTGACTGTAAATATCGTAAATATTTGTGTCTATATCTGTACATGCTTACATTGAGTTATATAAAATTATGTTTTTTTCGTCCACAGAGGAGCTGGAGTGTACAAAGTGGCGGCAAAACAACCCATTCTGTGAGTTCAGGGTAACTGTTACGATTCTATTATAACTTTCTGATGTTTGGTTGATGATTCAATTCCCCTGCTGTAGTGTCTTAGAGCAAAGCATTAAACCTTACACTCACCTTATACATGCAAGGTACAATTATTAAATCTTTAACCAGAAGCATGATGGATTAAAGACAATGGAAAAATACTTGTGTCGATTACAAACCGAACAAACTGAACATTCCTTTGGGTTTAAGACTCTTATAAAGTATTACCTAAAGAGGCTTTGGCTGGGACTGTTCCAAAGTTGCACAAAAGTGGAGAAATCTCATGTTGTAACAGATTTATTAGATTTTTGGCATGCAATTAAAGAGGGGCTATTATTCTTAACTGCTAACACATTACATATTTAGATCCCCATGTTCCCTTTTATTATTTTGAAAATGCTATATTCACCCAAAACAACAATCTGCATGCATCCTGCTAATACTGCACATTGCATCAAGTTTGCCAAGTTGCATTGTACACTTTTATATCCTGTATCCTGTATTTATGGAGACTTGTCGTGTGGGAGCATGGGTAACGTAGGCTTGAGACTGAGCATTACACAGAATCTGAGCTAACCATAGGGCCTGGGAGAGATTGCTAGATCACTCAAACATGCATGGATGACAATTCAAAACCTCAGGCATGTTTTTGATAGGAACAATATTATAATATGTTAGAAAGCTCCAGAAAAGAGATTTTCCACAATACCCCTCTTTAATTATAACCTCATGTCTAATCTGACAAATCTATTTAAATTACACTTCAGGATAGGAAATAAAATATTAAAATAAGTAAACATTAAACATATACTAAACTATATATTTCTGCAATGTTTCATAATTGTACCAACTTTGTTGCATTTAATTCTCCAATAATCAAATGCATATTAGCATGCTAGTTGTTGTTAGCTTTAGAGTTACAGGCAAAGCTCTGGTCTCTGAGAGATGTGAGAAGTGTTTATAGACTCATCACAGTAAACAAATAGGATGCTCTGAATGCATAAGGTAAGTGAGGAATACCCTTGGACCACTGCAAACTATTTAAAGTTAACTGGTTCTGTTTTTCACATGTTTAAGACTGTAAAAATCAGGTACAGTGCCTTTAAAGAGATAATAAAAACAGTAGGATAAAATCAAATAATGAATACTATAAAAACAGTCTGGTGAATATTATAAACATTTATTTAAAGCTCAAAATAAAAGGTGAAATGTTAAAGTGATCACAGTGTTTATATATATATATATATATATATATATATATATATATATATATATATATATATATATATAGATAGATAGATATATAGATATAGATATAGATATAGATATAGATATATAGATATATATGTGTATAAAATATGTTTGTACAAGGTGGAAATGTCCAGCAGAGATGCTGTTTCTGTCAGAGACTCATCTGGGACTAAAGTCTAAATAATCTAATCTTCAGTAAGAGACTGTCCTTGTAACCTGCTTTTTGGACAATTCATCCACTTTTAAAATTACAGTGTAACGAGGAACAAGGTTGCTCTGTATAGAATTATTTGGTCTTAACTGTTAGACGAGTCAATTCAAACCTAGAAGCTACAGGAAAGAAAGTCCTCCACATCTGAACCATATTTCAGTCACTATTTTTACATGCACAGAGAACTCCAAGTGCTTGTCCCAGTCTAGAGTATTGGTACCACGATACTAAAATTTAAAACTTGATTTTAATACTAAGGAATAGACTCAAGACTGATTCCAATAGCACAATAGTAATAAAAATAACTCTTTCTTTAGACAATAGAATGTGATTTTCAACAATAAGTGTAGTACTTTGTTTTATATTACCATGTGGCCTTATATATCTGAGTAATTACTCAATCATCCAGGTAGATTCCATGATGGTCCATGTGATCATGCTTGTTCTGATACAGCTCGAGATCATTTTAGAGCTACTTAGGAGAGGTTCATTTCCGTGACCGTGACTTTTTAGTATCGATACCTGCTCGAATGAGTTTGATTGATTGATTGTTTTAGCATCGATTAGTATCTTTATTTTTATCTTTATTTATGATACTTTTGACAACCCTAGTTTACGAGAACTGCAAGGCGTTCAGGCACGTCTTGTAATTTAGCATTCACAAAAAAACTTTGCAGCTATAATGGCAAATAAAAAAGACTATTATACATGTAACTGCACTTTTAGCAGGCATAGTTTTTCAACATTTTGAAAACTGGGTTAAATTGGACGAGGCAGGTTATGTGGTTTTCCTGGCGTGCATGTGGATATAGTGAATGTCTCTGGGTTAAATCTCAGGAGCAGTGGACCAGATCTGAGTTCAGGACTGCCTATATGACCAGTCAAAAGTTTGGACACACCCTTTCATTAAGTGTTGTTTTTTTCTTACTACTTTCTACTTTTCAGATACGAAGACATCAAATATATAAAGCAGTATTTATCTAATTATGTAACAAAAAATAAAACATGAAATTACTCAATAACTCAACTCAATATTTTTTATATTTTATATTGAAATCTTCAGAATATCCACCCTTTGCTTTGTCGACACTGCTGCAAACCCTTGGCCTTCTCTTAATGAGCTTCATGATTAAGTCTCCTGATATGTGCCTCATCTGCGTCAAAATCAGTGATAAACGCAAAAGGCGGCTATTATTATTTTGAGTTTATTTTTTGTTTAGTTTAGTTTTGATGTCTTCAAGTGTGTACAAACTTTTGACTGGCAGTGTAGCTGGACCCTTCTCCAGATCTGAGTCATGGTCTGGTTTTAGGTTGACAAGGGCAAACCAGAGGAAACCAGAGACAACATGCAAACTCCTAAGAAAGCCTCCACGCAATCCGTCAATCAAACCTAAGACTTGAATCATTATTTACAAACTTTGCATAGAAAGTCTTTGCATCACTTCCCACTTCTGGCTAAACGTTCTCCAAAACTACAAAAGGCCCAATGGCGATAGGCAGCTTCAGTTCATGTTCATGTTCATGACCCTCATCATCTCCTCTTCACTGCGTTGAGTCGGAGTCACTGGAGTCCATGTTACAGGTTTGTGTCCCTCGGTGCTGGACAGAGCAGTGCACGTGTCCGGGAGCGTGCACGTGACCTGCAGGGGCATGCCCGTGGCTTCCTTGAGTGTGGCAGTAGTACAGGTTCTGCGTGCTCTTCCGCAGATTCTCCAGACTCTGAAGGAAAGATCTTTTGGCACGTTCTTCGTCTATGGCGTTGGCACCCTCCTCTTCGACCTCTGCGATCTCAGCGAAGGTCACGGGCTGAGTCTTAAATCGTGCTTCACGAGGACGCCGTGCCCGGCTCTTTCCTCTAGGGGGCGCTTTGGGCACAGGCAGTTGCTGTGGGAACTCCTCCAACATCAGGTGAGCTCCGGCAGCGGCCATGTTGGACAGGTACAGGAGAGAAAGCGAATCTGGAGGAAAGAGGAAGAGAGAAGAGAGAGAAGAGACAAAGGAGAGAGAGAGAGAGAGAGAGAGAGAGAGAGAGAGAGAGAGAGAGGAGGATAGATGAGGAAAGGGGATGAGAGAGAGGAGAAAGAGAGGAGGAGAGAGAGGATGAGATAGAGGAGAGAAGAGTAAAAATAGGAGAGAGGGGGTTAGAACTAAGCAGACCAATATGACAGAGACATTACAGTAATATCTAGCTCAGAGCTAGATATTCACACTGTGGTACATGTACTAGTGATATGTGGATTCCTTTGCTGTTCAAATATTTGCTGAATTTAGAATAAATTTAATGTAATTTTGTCCTATTTTGGATTAGTCTTTGTGAAGAATTAGTGTAGTAATTGTGTTCAACAATTGCTACACCACCAGTTTAGCCCTGAAGTAGTCCTATTTGAGACCTGGTTATAATCTGCTGGGACTTGAAAATTCAAACATTTTCTTAGAAATTACTGTGAAAAGTTTGAGAACCACTGATCTAGCTTATTAATTCATTGATTCCTCAGTTGCAGCTACAGTTAAAATATTTGCTCAGTTTATTTCACATTCTGCCCTTCTTTAGAACCTGTATTGACTTGTGTAGTCCTATGTTTTGTGTAGTCCTATTTTAGACCTAGTAGAACTTGGAAGGCCAAATACTTTTTAAGTGTGGAAAAGTTGGGGGGCTCTTAATGGAGAGACACTGAAAGAATCGGTCAAATGCAGATTTAACTCTGAGACATTGGCGGATGGGTCAAATGCAGAGGACACATTTACAGGGATAGATAAGTCTTCTCTAAAAGCACTACATCACAGCCACTGCTCCCCTGTGAACTCCTGTTCACTCTCATGTTATTGCAGTAAACTGATCCATGTGAGAGCTCTACTGCTGCCATATCAATTAACATTTCAAAACAAAATATTCTATCTTTTGTATGGTTGAAAGTCCTCAAAATGGCAGCAGGAATCTGAAACCCCTAAGTACTGCAATGTTCATTTCTGTTTCCAACCACCATAACGAAAGCAACAAATTGGAATTGATACTTTGCATCTGACATCTTCAGCATTCCCTAGAAGTGTGAAGCTACCTGATTGCACTGCTCTGTCTGCAGCTCTGTTACTCAAGTTAGACTTTATTTTAACACAATTTGACCATAAAAAACTGACAATAGAACCAGCGTGTGAGCTGATTTGTGCTGTTACAGTCATCAGTTAGTTAGCATTAGCTAACAGCTATCAGTGTCTCGGGGTTAAACCATGGATCTATTAAAATAAACCAGTTGCAGCCCTGGAACTGCCAATCTGTCCCGGAACAACAGGTAAAAGGAGCTGTTAACTTGATAACTACCACGTCATGACATCACAAGGTGGAACAGAGCATTTTGAGCTTTGGAGATGTACAAAGGATTAATAAAGGACTACTGTGAATGAAACAAAACACAGCGCCAGGTATGTTTTTTAGGAGGTAACAACATTCTAACATGGCTTAAAGCTCACAAGAGTCAATTTTGTGTAATGTAAATGTCCTCTTTGAGAACTGAATGACCCTGTGTTTCTATGGGGACACTGCTCAGAGACACACAGAAGCTTGTGTTCAGAGTCCATCCCTCCTCCCACCTCTCTCTCTCTCTCTCTCTCTCTCTCTCTCTTCTGTTGACGTCAGGCTAATGCAGATGTGTAAACAGCTGGATGGCTTTTCCACCGTCTTTGTGTAAACAAATGGACTAAAGGCACTTAAAGGAGATCTGTTACAAATTACAATTGAGAGTTCATATATTATGATAAATGTGCTGTTGTGTCATTGGGCAATGCACTTCTCCCTTCGCCACATCGGGTAAGGGCTACATGCAACTGTAGAATTACTTGTTTTCTAATTGTGTAGGAAATCAATTACAAAAAAAAAAAAAAAAAAATCTGTTTTGTATGAAAAGGACTTAAGTTTTAATTTAATGATTTTAAAACACAAGTCAAATAAATAAAATAGAATAAAAAATACAATAAAGAATAAAATATTAATGATAAAAATATTACATTTTATTAAATTAATATTAAAAAGTCTAAGATCCTCATTGGCCAGAACATAAACCTTATTAACCCAGACTCTCACCTTTCTCGTGACGTCCTGTTTACAGTGAAGCCTTCAGTCAAAACTCTGGGAAAAGTTCAATGTTTGTCCCAAAACGTCAGAATCCCCAGACAGGTCCCAGAAAAAAAAACAAGACAACTCTTTGAAAATACTTCAAAGTGTAAAACTAAAATGTCTTTTTAAAATAATTCTTAAAAAACAAAGCCACGCTCTTCAAATTCCAAAGTTCAGGATTTACAAAGTTTTAGGCTGTTGAAAATTAAAGTCCTTTAGTTTTGCATGATATTTTCAAAGATGTTTAACTCTGAAAATAGCTTTATAATGTCCCTGAATTGACTTGCAGAGCTGTGAAATTTGGTCTCTGGTCTCACTACACTTATTTTTGGAGTTATATTTAAGGCTTGGTCTAAACTCCAGTCAAACTCTGCACTCTCTCCTCTGTCTGTTTTTTTTTAATATATATATATCAGTAGCGCCTCTCATGCACCGCCCACTCTGCCGCTCTGGTCCAATCAGATCATGTCTCTGAGTATACTGACTCCAGATCAGATTTTACTGGAAGTGACATTCGCCATAGTGCACTAATATTTCTCATCAGTAAGTTTATTTTTTAAGTTAAAATAATGTGATTTTAAAGTCACTGTACCTGATTTTCACTGTGTTAAAAATGCGGAAAAACAGCTAATTTTATGTCACAGTTTGCGGTGTTCCAAAGTTTTTCCTCATTTGCCTTATGCATTCTGAGCATCATTCACAATGATGAGTTTCTAAGCGCTTTTCACTACTCTGAGACCAGAGAGGAGTTACGGTAAAGCTAAAAACAATTAGCATGTTAACATAGCACTTCTTGATTCTCAGACAGTAATATCGTGCCTGGCTCCAAATTCTCTCCTCTAACCACTAGCATCGCGAGCTTCATTTGATTGGAGCTGAACACTAAAGGTGACGTAACAGTCACTTAGTCCACTTCTTTATACAGTCTATGGGCAAGACACATTTTGCTCAAATATAAAGGAAAAATCTGGTACTGGGCCTAATAAAGTGAAGTTAATTAATTCACTCTCTGTGTGCTAAGTTACTTCTGTAGTCACAGCTGTCCTCTGCCAGTCTGCCCCATCAGCCCCTCCCACCACCATCACTCACACACTCACACACTCACACACTCACACACGCACGCACACGCACGCACACACACACACACACACACTCATACCACATTCATACAAGGCAATGTGGGTGAAGTGTCTTGCCAAAGGACATAACAGCATGTCCTTATCTGAGTAGTAATTTTTTACTCCATTTTGTATATGAATTTTATTCAAAATATATTTAAATATTCTACTTAAAGGTCAAAGGTCTATTTGCAATAGAGTTTTGATTGCATATTTCTATTTAACATGCAACACTGAACATTTCCACAGAGTGAAATAGATAAATCTTGATCATGATCTTATTATGGGGGGTCATGACTGAAAAGGCTGGGAATCACTGGTCTACTAAATACTGTTATGTTTTCCCACTCTCTCCCTGGTCTTGAACACACCACATTGGCAATACACAATCAGTGCATGTGAATCTGTTGTGTGTATATTTCAGTGTTTTCTCCCTCTGTCCCTGTCCCCTGAACACACCACATTGACATTATACATTATAACACAGTATAGACAGTATAATCAGTCCATGAGAACATGAGAATGTGTTGTGTGTAAAATAATGAAGCAGTGTTCTTGAGGCGTTCACTCTCCACAGACTCAAGCTTGTAGTTTGGACTAACATCTCATTCAGTGTTTTTGTTTTTTTTCTCAAAGTCAACAGTTTGGACTAACGTCTCATTCAGTGTTTTTGTGTTTTTCTCGAAGTAGCAACCCTTTGCTTTGTGGACGGAGCTGCAAAACCTTGCCCTTGTCTCAGTGAGCTGATGAAGTCTCCTGAAATGGTTTTCACTTCAGCTGTGCCCTGTCAGGGTCATGAAATTCCAAGGATGGAAAGCAATGGTCAAAGCACAGGGTAAAGGCTATTTTTAAAATTCTAAAAGAAGTTACTCTGAATTTATTATTTGTTTATACATTCCGCATGTGTCTTTCATAGTTTTGATGCCTTCAGTGAGAATCTACAATGTAATCATGGAAATAAAATAAAATAAATAAAATTAAAAAAACACTTCTCCAGACTGTTCCTTTGCTTTGACACAGGAGTGCTGGTGTTCCTCTGAAAATGCTGGCGTGACAGTGACTTTGCTCATGCTCACTTTTATGAAAAATTTGGATCCTGTTTGGAGCTTTGAGCCTAGTTTGTTTTATCAGTCTATCATAACATTTGTACATCTTGACTCAAGGTTTAGGTATCATCCTTGTGTGTGTGTGTGTGTTTTTAGTTTCTGTCAGTCAGTCAGTAAATTTTATTTTATTTTTTACCTAAACTGTCAAATAACCCTTATCAAATCAAAATCTGAATTGAGGTGGTCTTGAGAGAAGAGCTCATGACTTCAGACTCTGGTTTATATCTGGACCTCTCTCTGAGCTCATGGAGTTAATACATTCTCTATGTATTAGAAATATACTGTGTAAAGTATACTGTGGGGGTCATCACACTGTCTTTCTCTCCCTCTCCACCCTCCTTTCCCTCCCTCTCTCTGTTACCCTCCTTCTCTCCCCTTCCCTCTATTCCCTCCCTCTCTCTGTTAGCCTGCACTCTAAACTGGTGTGTGGATTCTGAAATTTGACCTGATGTTGAATGAAGCAGGAATAACATTGAGCTCAGAGCTTGAGTAAACAGCTCAAAATAACAACTGGATCAACCAATATGTCCAACACAGCAGTCTGCATGAGACGGTTACGAAATACACTCTACACACTCAGGAGGGTCTAGCCAGGTCCTGACCATGATCTGGTCTTTGTTAAGTTTGTTTCAAACAGCAAAACAAGAACAAAAAATTAATATCTACTCAACAGTTGTTTGAAAATAAGTGTAACTCTTTCAGATAAACATTCACAACATCACCAGACCTACTATGCTTGTGTCTGATATATAATTATAATCTATGACACCTTTGGATCATTATGTTATAATATGCACATTTAAATATTGCAATATTCATCTTAAAGACACAATAAAAGAAACAAGTCCGCCGACTCCTGTGCCAGAAAACAGCAGCGGTCAATAGGAGCTGATATTGCCTTAACCGTTATCACAACAATGAGCCGCATGCTGTGGGCCCCTCCTATGGATAGCTCCACATCACACTAGCAAGCAGCAGATTTTTATTTTTTTTTGTGACAAAATGATTATGCGATGCTGCTGAATCCTACGTGTATCAGTTCACGTCGCTGTAGATTTTGTGATGCTATTAAAGCTCTTCCTCAGACCTGTGCAATCACAATTTTGGTGACATCACTCCCTGATCCTCGTGACCTTCAGAGAGGTCAAAGGTCATGATGGAGTCAGGGGTCATGTTTCCTGTGGCCACATTCGAGCGGTCTGTGCTTATGTTTTCTTTCTCTCCAGTGTCACATCAACAACAGTGACTCAAACATTTAGTAAAAACAGTGTGGGACTTAGATTTGAAATTTGGGTTAAAAATCTGATTCAGATTCTTCAGCAATGGTAGTAAAGCTATCTGTATTAAACTTACTCAGTTACAGATTTTTATTTACCCAAAGAAAGAAAAGAAAAAAGAAAAAGAAGAAAAGAAAGAAGAAATACTAAATTGTGTATAAAAGTGAAAAGTAAAAGTACAGATATAGGGGCAAAAATCAAAATCAAAAGTAGTATTAAAGTAGTATTTAAAATTAATTTAAAGAGTAAAAAGTAAAAGTATTTTGCACAGTTTTTGAGATCTAATAAAATGTCAAATGTAGAGATGCCAATAAAGATTTATGCTAAAACAATTAGTAGTAGTGAAGTAAAACTAAGTATCAACTGTAAAATCTACTTTTACTTCATTGCATTCCACTACTGCTCAAAATACACACACACACAAACGCTCACGCAGTAACCTTGTTTACATGGAACATAAACAGAGCTGAGGGGAAATGACTAGAACATCAGGGTTATAAGAACTTAAAGTCAATAAGTCAGCTGCTGTTACTGTTACTGTCAGAAGGTTAAGCACTTGCCCACAAACCAGAGGGGAGACAGTTCAAAGTCCCCACTGCTTTCTATTTTCCAGTCCCCACTCCAGTCATTCTAATGTAGCTGTGACAGAAAGAGCATCTGACATAAAAAATATACAAACAAACAAGCAAACTCACATTGCAATTTATTAAAGAACTTCCTGAAGAGGTTTTGGATCTCATCCATGTATTTTTTTTGAGTATTTTAGCGATCTCTCCTGGGCCCTAGTAAAACCCTCCTTCTGTGCAATGCTCTACCAACAAGCCTTCACGCAACACTTCTCCAAAAGCATGATACAAAACTGTACACAACAGCTTTTGTGTGAAAATAGCATTTTCAAAACAATAGGTAGGTAAAAGGCAACACGGTGATCTAAAGTTATCGATTAGTAGTTAATATCTCATAAGTATAATACAACCTCTTTAAAAATCTCTAATTCAAAGTTCAAAGTTCAAAGTTAGCTTTATTGACAATTTCTTCACATGTAATAGATATAAAGGAATCAAAATGATGTTTCTCTCTATTCCATGCGTAGACAACGACTGGGAGAGTGAGAGGCCGCTACGTCTGTGTGCGCCGCCATTCAAATCATAACACTATTCAAGTTTTGCTACAGCAAACAGCTGCATTTGCATACAGTACTATGAGTATTTGTACTTAGTTACTTTCCCCCTGGAGCTGAGAACACATGTTCCAGCAGAGAGTCAAAGGTCAGGAGTGTCCCACAAAATACCAAAGTTTATGTTTCAGGAAATTAAATGGACCACATCTGGACACTGGTGGCCTGTACTAAGGGTTGTTAAAAGTATCAAAAAGCAGATCCTAATCAATACTAAAACCAGTATTGAAACTAAACTAACTACTCAACTGAGCAGGTATCAATACTAAAAAGTCACATACACAAAACAGAAATGAACCATTCCTGAATAGTTGTAGAATGATCTTGAGCTGTATCAGAACAATTATAAGAGCACATACACTAGTATACACCCATGGAACCTACCTAAGGGATTACACAAATATAAAGCCACATGATAATATAAAAGTACTACCATTTAAGGTAGAAAATCATGTTCTATTGACTAAAGAAAGAATGTTTTTTTTATTATCATCGTGGTCTCGGAATTGGTATTGACTATGAAGTCTATTACTTAGTATCATAATCGAGTTTGAAATTTGAGTATCAACCCTAAATGCAATACAGTCCAAAGTGTCTGGGTCTGGTCTGAACCCTCGACCTTTGAGATGTTGAGTTGGACACGGCGGCCATGTTGGATCTTTAAATGTGGACATTGGTCAGATTTATGTTTGTGAGAAAAGGACACTTACACAACTCTCCCTCCTCCTTTCTCAGCTATCTCTCTCTCCCTTGTTCTGTTGAACTATATATCCCTTTTTCCTAACCCCCCTCTCTCATCTCTTCTCCTCTCTCCATCCCCAGCCCTTTCTCCCTCATCCCACCCTTTCTCCTTCATTCTTTTTCTATCTTTCCGCTCTCTTTCTGTGCCCCATCCCTTCTTTCCTACCACCCCTTTCTCATACTTTTCACCCTCTCCATTTTTCCCTCTATCCACTCCTTCCCTCTGTAATCATCACTTCACCTCTACCTGCTCCACTCTCCTTTCCTTCTCTCTCCCCTCTTTATCCCCCTCTTTCTATTTCTTTCTCTCCTCTCTTTCTGTTCCCTCTCCTCACCCCTCTTTTCTCTCTCTAAAATGTTAATTTCCTTTACTTACTGTGACCTTTAGGACAACTGCAGGGGTCCAGCTCATGTCTCTGTAACTGTCTCTGTAAATCTGAAACTTATTAAACGGTAAAATCTTCTGAGAAATGCTCATGCTGGTGGTAGAGTGGTTAGCACTTAGCCCTCACTGACTAAACATGGCCTCTGTGTCCTTATTCTACTCTCAGTATCATACACTTGTTTTTTACATATTTTATTTAAAGAAGAGGTATTATACAAATGTTTTACTTTCTAGCATGTTATAATGTTCCCTCATCAAAAACATGCCTGTTTGACCATTTTAGTGAGCTCTCCCGGGGGCCTATTTGATCTTGCTTTACAACTGGCTATAAGATTCTGTACGAGGCTCCACCCCCAAGCCTACATCACCCATGCTCCCATGTGACAATTCTCCAGAAATATACAAAAATGTAGGTAACATGGTGGTTAAATATGTTAAATGTTAGCAGTTAATATCCCATGGACGTGTAAACCTAATCACAAAGTTCAGGATGGATCCACCCCAAAATTAAACAAACTAAAAGTTTTTTTTGTTTTTTTTAAAGAACCATCACATTTGCACAAATTTCCACCATTAAAATAAATCCTTTATTCTTTGAAAGTTAGTGGTCAGTTCCCTTTCTGACCTGCTTAACACTGTTGTCTTTAAACAAGACACTTCTCACACCAGATTTTCAGGCCAAATTTGTTTAGACATATTCTGCGATGGCACGTTGACAACAGTCTATGGGCTGGTGTAGTGCTGTCCAGTAAAGGTTGTGGGTTAGATTCTTGACTTTATCACCAGGTGTGAGGCCCTCTGATTGCTGCAGTCTGTAGTGGTGTCTAATCGAGGTTCTGGATAAGATTCCCTTTTTGACTTGCATTAAGTCTTTGAGCAAGACACTTCTTATCCCAGATCCCCAGGTTCTATTTGTTTTGACAGAATATTCTCTGATGGCACGTTCACCGTTGTGCTGTCTAATGAAGGTTGGGGGTTAGATTCCTGACTTTAGTTCCAGGTGTAAGGCCCTCTGACTGTAGGGGAGATGTAGTGCCGTCTAGTGGATGTTGTGGTTTGGATTCCTGACTTTGGCTCCTGCTCTGAGGCCCTGTGGCTCCTGGTAGATGGTCCTAAATGTGAGGTTGATTCTAGGCCCTCGATCATGGTACTCTTTGGCCACTTGGTGCTGCACAAAACAAATCAACAAAAACAGTGAAATAAAACATTAATATTGAGGCAAAACATTCAAGATTTTATCATATTGTACAAAAAAAATCCTGATATTTTATTGTTATAAGAATTTTCAGTAAGATCAAATACAAAATAATGGGGTTGCACAGATCCATCTTATTCTGTTCTCATACTGATGTTGATAGCATGATCAATAAATACGCTACAAATCAGAGAGCCTCTGCCAGCCTTCTTTATCTATACTGATGTTGATAGCTTGGCTCTGGTATCTGCCAATACCCAATATGATCTGATAAGAGACTGAAAATAGAATATATTCCTTTAAACATAAACAGTGTATGGCAAATAAAATCCAAATATGTTTTGTAACTGTTATTTATCATTCAGAGTAACTACAGAATAACTTTGGAGTCCTGTACTGGAGTCCCAAAGAATAGACTAATCTGACATCCATTCTCAGATTTAGTCTAGTGTAGATACCAGATCCAAAACAGGTCTAAACTGGGACTGAACCACGACTATATCAGGACTAAACCAAGACTAAACCAGACTAAAACAGGATTAAACCAGGACTAACCCAAATCAGGACTAAACCACAGAGTAAACCAAGACTAAAACAGCTCTTATAGCTCTGAACACTGTCTTAACCCTTCATACATATTTGTCTTCCAAATGTTCTTCCCTTCAGTCACAAATCATAAGACCCAAACTAAATAAATGTGTTTTTACTGATATAAACTGTATTATTATGTAACATGTTCTGAGGAGGAAATATTTCTGCAGCAACTTTCAGGAATGTAGCCTTTCTATCCAAGCCTGCGCCACAAATGGACAGACCTAAAAAGATTGGTAGTTCAAAGCCAGCTGCCAGAACTAAACCAGGACTGAAACAGGAATAAACCAGGGACTGAACCAGGATTAAACCAGGACTAAACAACGTCTAGTCCTGGTTCACTCCTGGTTTATTCTTGGATTAAACTAGGACTAAACTAGAACTACATCAGGCCTAAACCAGGTCTAAACCAGGACTAAACCAAGGCTTATATAGAGTGTAAAAGCTTGCAGCCCCTCTCTCTCACAGGGCTGTTTAAACATTCGTCTTGTTGAGTCTTTTTACGAGCGACAGTCACATTTACAGCAGATTTAAAGCTTCATTAGTTCTCACTGAGAGGTACAGTAGATCCTCTGCTTCAGCCCCATGTCTGATACTGGGAACAAGATTACTGTATTGATATTTTGCAGTGGCATCACACTGGGGGTGTTCTACATGTATTTTTTATGGTGGAATGTTTTGTAGTTACCATGGTGACACAATGCACACCTTAGAAAATACTAACAAAAATGTTTTAAGATACTAAAGATGGATTTAAACAGACTTAAAACAGCATATTTTCAGGAGTCTTTGATCAATGAGTGTTTATGGTCCTGTTTAGAAGTTTGATTTTTGGTGGCATTGTGGCAAAGCGGTTAGTGCTTTCGTCTCACAGCAAGAAGGTTCTGGGTTTGATTCTGGGGCTGTGAGGTGATTTTCTGTGTGGAGTTTGAATGTTCTCCCCATCCTTGTGTAGATTTCCTCTGGGAGCTCCGGTTTTCCGTACCACTAAAACATGCACAATAGCCGTGTGGAGCCAGGACTGCACAGTGAGTAACCGACAAACTGTTGGCTAATGCAAGCTAGCAAAATATGTGAGAGGCTTGTTTAACAGCACAAATCAGCTCACCTGTTCTAGTTACAAGTTTTAAAAAATCCACCTGTTTTGGTCAAATTATGTTAAAACAAAGCTTGGATTAAAGTCTAACAGGCCTCAGATAAAGCAGTGCTTACAGTCAGCATCACATCCCTAGGGATGATGATGACATCAGCTGCAAAGTATCAGTATGTCTGGGGTGCTGGGTAGGGCTGGTATTGCAACAGTGATTTATGTTCCTGGGGTTCAATAATGATATAACTATCTGACTATAGTAAAACATTTACTATGGAACGTTCTAGGCAAAGCAGTAACATGAAAAGACAGGTGGCAGACCCTCCAATAAAAAAGTTACAAGGTGCATCTTTAAAACTACCTGATCAAAATGTTTTAAATGGTGGTAAACTGTGATTGGTTCTATCTGCATTACTCTCTCTCTGATTGGTTCTTTTAAATAAAGGTGTGTTCTGATTGGTTGTTTTAAACAAGTATGTGCCTTGATTGGCTGTTACCTGCCAGTCATCCTGAGTGGCCCCCTCCATAATGAGCAGAGTCCCATGGCTCAGAGGAACTTTAATGTGTGTACTGTACGTGAAGTCTCCATTCTCCTCCTGAAACAAAATGATTTACACAAAAAAATATTTCAGTGTTTTTACTGACCTGTTTTAGTCCGGTTTTAGTCCGGTTTTAGTCCGGTTTTAGTCCGGTTTTAGTCCGGTTTTAGTCCGGTTTTAGTCCTGTTTCAGACCCGGTTCAGACCCAGTTCAATCCTGGTTTAGTCCTGGTTTAGTCCTGGTTCTTACTGGAGCAGGCTTTTTTCTCAGACTAAAGCTGCGTGTGTCTCCTAGACTGATGGAGGCGATAGTGGGCTGCTCTCCTAACGACGCCTCATCATCACTATGCCAGGCAATACTGTCATGGCCGCTGCGGTACAGGTTACATAGGACAGAGTTCAGAGCAAGACCAAAGCGCTGGAACAGGAGAGAACGGAGAGACAGGAGCTCTGAGGGCCACTGAGGAGGAGAGGGAGTAGGAGAGGAGTGTTAAAGGTCCTATATTACTCAAAATTGTCATGCCATGTTATATTGCCACCTCATCAAAAACATACCTGGAGTTGTATTTTGTTTCATTCACACATTTATGTAACCCTTTATGATTAGTCTGTCTCCAAAAGTGTCAGAATGCTTTGTTCCACCTTGTGAGGTCATGACGCGGTAGTTTTCAAGTTAATGGCTCCCTTTTGTTCAGTAGAGACGGTCAGTTCCAGGGCTAAAATTAACCAAATGTTTTTAGTGGACCACTTCTTGTTACTACATGACATCACAAGGTGAAGTGTTTTCTGTTTCAGAGAAGAACAAAGTCTAAATGTATACAGGGTTTGTGTATTAAACATGTGAATGAAACAAAACACAACTCCAGGTATGTTTGTGATGAGGAAATAGATCAGAAAATAGTGCAATATGTGCCCTTTAAAGGAGACCATTCAACAGTGACGACCTGCCCCTGGTTCTGGAAATGAAGTCACATCACACAGGACTGCCCTGATTATCGACGGGTGTTTCTCATTCCAAACACCTGGCTGCAGGGGGGTGGAGTTTAAAGTGTGAATACCTGTTAGACCAATCACACAGTTCCTTATACCTCCAGACCATAAAGTGTATTAAAACAAACAGTCACCCACAGTGTTCAGCACCACTCAAATGAAGCTCGCAATACTTGTGGTTACAGAAGCAAATTTGGAGCCAGGCTATATATTATGAATAGGATTTTTTT